GCACTTGTTTGGTGTGCCAGTAAGACAAGACAGAAAGGAAGAAGGTGGCGGGTACGTTGGAACCCCTCCCTATTCCAAGCAGACCTTGGGAGAGTGTTTCCATGGATTTTATTAATGGTTTGTCTCAGCTGAACGATTTTACTTCGATATTTGTGGTTGTAGACAGATTTTTGAAGTATGTCACTTTCATTGCTGCCCCCAAAAGTGTGTACGACGGAAGTTACTGCGTAGTTATTCCTCAAGCATATTGTGAAGCTTTGGGGTCTTTCGCTGGATATAGTCAGCGACAGGGACACTTGGTTTACTAGCCGGTTCTGGATGACTTTATTTGAACTGTTGGGTACACAGCTCAACCTTTCCACGAGCAATCATCTATAGACAGATGGACAAACCGAGTGGGTTAATGCAATACTGAAGGAATACCTCAGACACTATGTCACAGCGAACTAGGACAATTGGGTGAATTTACTTGATGTAGCCCAATTCAGTTATAACCTCCAACAAAACTCTTCCACTGGAATGAGCCCATTTGAGTTGGCAACTGGCCAACAGCCTCTTACCCCGCATGAAGTTGTCAAGCAGAAGTCTCACGGGAGATGTCTTGTAGCATACCGCTTTACTCGGACCAATCAGGAGCGGACCGACGAGGCAAAAAACTGTTTAACTAAGGCGGTGAAGAGGATGAAAAAGTGGGCAGACGAGAAGAGGAGGGCAGTAAAGTTCGAAGTGGGTGACAAAGTGATGTTGAAATTAACCCCACCAATCTGGAACAAGATCTCTCGAAAGTTTGCACACAAGGGACTAATCCAACGCTATGACGGCCCTTTCCTTATAACAAGGAGGATTGGTAGGTTGGCCTATAGGTTGGACCTTCCCAGTCGTCTCAAGCTTCATCCAATTGTTCATGTTGCCTTCTTGAAGCCTTATATTTAGGACCCGGAAGACCCTAACAGATACGTTCAGCGTCGGGCTCCTCTAACAATTAGGAAGCAATTCACAGAAATAGCTGAAGCTATCCTTGACCACAAGACTGAGGAAATGAGTAAAAAAAACAGAAGAACTCATTACCTAGTCAAGTGGAAAGGGAAAACACTGGAGGAAGTCACTTGGAAGAAAGAGACGACATTGTGACAGTTCGAGGATCTCATCAAGCAATACCATGCCTCCATTCCAACGATGTCGTTGGATACTTCAGGTGGGGGTGACTTGTCACACCCTAACTGACTTGGGTGCAAATGGCCAGTCTTGGTGGCACCTTGCACCAAGGCATGCCATAAGTTGAAATCAAGGTGACGCGACTAAGTGGTTCGACAGATTGGGGCAAACCAAGGCAGCATGAGACCACTCGGTTGAGCATGACAGCACGTGGTGGGGCTCAATTGAAGCAATGTGGGTGCATAGCTTTGAATTGCATGGCATGGGTTGAACCCAACATGCACATTGGTTTGTGAAGCAAGACTGGCTGCTAAATATGGGCACATGACTGGCATATGGCTGCTCAATGCATGTGACCAGGAGGATGTGGGCAGTTGTAGATGCTGAGACACAGTCAAGGCAGTTGTTGTGGCAGTTCTGGGCGTCCCTAGTCTGAATCCAGTCCAGATGCATGCTGATGAAGGGCAGTTCCACATCAGTTACTAAAAGGGGTGGAACTGTCTGCCAGGTGTTGCACAGAGACCAAACCTGCTAGCCAAGTATGCTATGGAATAACAAAAACGTGTGTAACTACCCCTTGGCAGATGGGGGTGTCATCTGCCTTACTCCTGTATAAATAGGGGTGTTGAGCATTCTGATAGGGGGAGAGTGTTCTGCCTTTGAGAGTTCCTTGTAAATTGTTGAGTTCAATATATAAGGTTTGAGAGTTTTGTCCCAATAAATTCGTGTGTGCCTTCTGTGTGAGTTTCTGTCCCTTATTCTTGAGTTTGTGTGTGGCTAGTTGCAATAGCAACGCCTTCATAGGTAGTCTCGAAAGAAAAATGAAAATTACCCCCGTGACACTGCCATTAGCAGTGTTGGTACATAGTTAGGTTAGGGATAGAGCTTAAGGATGGTGGAGCCTATGGTGTTAGTGGTGGGTTTTGGATGATGGAGGTTGTGGTGTTGATGGTGGGTTTTGTGTGGTGGAGCTGATGGGTGTTGGAACTAATGGTGTTGATGGTAGCTTTTCGAATGGTGGAACTCTCTCTCTCTCTCTCTCTCTCAAGCGGTGGTTAAGGAGGTTGGTGGGTGGTAATGGTTTCTGGAAGCCCATGGTGGGTGGGTGATGGTGCTAGATGATTAGCTTAAGGGAGAATTACACTCAGATCCCTGAAGTTTATCATTTAATCCCTTAGATTCCTTAATATTTAAAATATTATATACAGACCCCCTGAGATTTGTACACGCATAATATTTAAACCCCTGTTGTAAATATATCAGTTAATAAATTATACTTAAACCTCCTGAAGTTTGTGGGTATATAATACTTGGACCTTTTAAGTTTAAAATATTGTACTTAGGCCATAAATATTCTAATCAAATATAAAATATAAAATATTTTAAATTTTACAATCAAAATTGATGTTCTATTGTATCATTTATTGAAATAAAATTAAAAATAAAAATTTATTTTTTTCTTAAAAAATTGTAATTAATATACAATTATATTGTTTATTAAAATTTAATTTAGTCGTTTAAACAATCAAATTAAAATATCAAACTACCACAATTAAATCTAAAAGATATTGTGTCTATTATAGTTTAATTTCATGTTTAATTTTTTAGTTTTGTTCTAATAGACAGTATAAATATATACTAAATATGTGTTTTTTTTTTAAATAAATTTTTATTTTTAATTTTATTTCAATAAATGACATAATAGAGCATAAATTTTGAATGAAAAATTCATGTTCTATTATGAATGACTTAGACCCATTGTTTGATTTTTAAGTTTTATTCCAATAGATAGTATAATTGTATACTAATTACGATTTTTTTAAGAAAAAAATTTAATTTTAATTTTAATTTTATTTCAATAAATAATACAATAGAACATAAATTTTGGTTGTAAAATTTAAAATATTTTATATTTGATTGGAGTATTTTTTGTCTAAGTATAATATTTTAAACTTAAAGGGTTTAAGTATTATATATACTCACAAACTTTAGGGGAGTCTAAATATAATTTATTAAAGATTATATTTACAATAGGGGTTTAAGTGTTACGCGCATACAAACTTCAGGGGTGTCTTAATTGGAAAAAAATATAGCTAATTAATTGCTTAATTAGTGGTGTCACAATTTGGAAATAATAGATTATATTTGATTTCAATATGTGTTAAGGTAAGCTTAGTTAATACAAATCTATTATATTGAGTAACTTAATTATATTTTAAATCATAATTATTATGAGAATTGGTGGGTTTGAATTATGAGTTTAAACTTTTTTGCATAGGTAGTTATTAGTACAATTAGAAAATTAAAATTTAAGTTTTAAAATGAATGAGTGATAAATTTCTAAAAAACATATATTTAAATTCTCAAACTTAATTTTTGAGGGTATTTTTGGCATTCTAAATATTATTATTGATAATATCAACTTTGACTATTAACAATTCTAAAGTCTGTTAGTTGGAAGGAATGTAACTGTTACAAGTTATAAATGTCAAAGGAGATCGGTATAGTTTTTAAAATGTGAGAGAGTGTTCGTATAATAAAATTAAATGTCGGGAGGTGTGAGTGATATTTATCCTAAGTTTTACTTGAATTCGTAATAAATATTTACTAATAAGCAAACAAAAAAAATTATATATTTGAGAAAATCTCATTCCTTTAAAACTATAGCATTATTTCAAGTTCAAACTATAGCATTAGTGACATATCTTGAAGTTTACATATACCATAAAAAACCCACATTTGATCTTTTGTTCGGGGTTATATAATTCAATATGAATTTAAATGTAAAAATAGAAACGTTGCTTTATTGAATACTGACAGTGTGTATAGTTTGGAGGAAAAAAGAAAGTCGGAGAACTCAATCATTAATTTAATCAATACAATCATCGTCAAACACCTCTATAGATTTTTTGTATATTCACTTTAATTTTAAATTACATAAAAATAAAAAATAAATTATTATCTAAAATATAAATATTGTAATATCAATGTTCAATTTTTTGTATTGTAATATGTCTTCGGATACAAAATTATTGTTAGCAATTCTATAGAATGAAACATAGTGTCCTGCTTATTCACAACGACAACTTGAATTGTTTTACATCTAACGGTTTATCTTATAATTTGTAATTTATTTTTTTAGTCGCAATAATTATTTTTATTTATATTTAATTTTTTTAATCATACTATTTTGACCACCCACACAACCACCCAGTTCAATAATGGAGAAAAAAAATAGGGCAAATTTTATTTTATTCCTTGTGGTTTGACCTATTTACACATCACTTCCTTAAGATTCTAAAATAGCACATAATCCCCTGTGATTATTGGACTAAAATGCACTGCTTAACTCCGTTAACAGTAAAGCTAAAATGACTTTAATGCCCCTCTCCGCTCTTCTTCTCCGGTGAAGATTGATCCATCACAAATTCGGTATCACCTTCGCCCCCAACCCAATAACTCATCACCTCCACATTAAATCCATCCATCACAGATTCATTAACCTAAAAATTGAAAAAAAAAGTTGTGTGGTCGTGGGTGATCATGGCAGTGGGTCGCAATTGAAAGGGAAAGAGGTGTGTGGTGATGGGTGACCAAAATTGTATGATCAGCTTACTAGTTGTCGCTAAAACCACCTCCGATCATGACTTTTCACACTTTGAATCATCAACTTGTTTCATCAAACCTCTAGATAACCCAAAAAACCAAACCCTTTCAGCACCAGCACCGCACCTTATCTCCGCCGGACTGCACCGTGTGGACCAGTGCTTGTTCGAATAAGGTCCTGAGGCTGGCAAAGAACCCAGAAAACACACAGTGATTAAAATCAATTAGAAGAAAAATTCATGAGAACCCAGAACTTGCTTTCAATCAGTTACAGGTTTCCACTGGACAAGATCGGCATCAGAGCCCTGGTCGAAACTGGTGGACCGCCTTTCTTTACGTCAGGGCTGATATGGATGCCCTCTAATTCAGGTCTATATTTAAGGAAAAGGGAGGTGTTGGTGGTTAATAGATGGAAGGAAGAGGTAGGTGATCGTGACTGTTGACGAAAAAGGAAGGTGAGTACTATTGGTTGATCGGTGGACAATGGTGGTTGTCATGTGTTATCAGCAGGAGGGATGAACTCGACTTGCATAGCATAGGTATGCAAAGAGACAGAGAGAGAGCAGAAGTGTAACAGAGGAAAAGTTAGGAAAAAGATAATTTGAGGGTTTTGTTATACCAAACCGCATAGAATGGCGCATGACTTGTACGCGCTGTTAAAAAGGATGAAAAATGTGACGGTGCATTTTATTTCAACGATCACGAGTTTGGTCACAAGGGGGTAAAGTGAAGTTTGTCTAAAAAAATAGGGGAGAAGAAATAAATAAAAAATGAGCTGCACTTCCTTTCAAACGACGCCGTTGGGCAAACAACACCAACCAGGAACTGTAACCCCCGACAAGAGGAACAAGACGAAGCTTCGATGTGATGCGTAAACTTCAACTCAGGTACTTACCTGCCTTTCTCCACCACGCAACTCCGCCGTACGCCCTCCTTTCAGCCACCGCCTTCACATTTGCCCCATTCTCACCTCCGAACTCAACGACACTTCATACTTCCCTTCCTGCTTCCTGTTACCAATCTTCTCTCTCTCCCTCTTTTTCTCTCCATACCTGTTCTACGAACATATACATTTGGGTATGGGTATGGTTATGGGCGTGGGTGTGGGTATGTGAGCATGTTCTCCTTATCTTGGTCGTCAGTCATAGTCAGAGATCATTGAGTTAAAGGGTTTTCCCTAACTCTTGAGGATCTTTGTTTCAGGAAAGGGGGCAGTCCATTACTTGGTGTTCTTTTTTGGAATTTTTGCAAACCCATCGGCCATTAAATGTATCTGCTATCAAAACTGCTACGATAATATGTCGATGTGATTGTTATTTGGTTTTCACTCTCCGTCCTATCTCGTTGTTACCTAGTGATCGCATTGATTCAGTAGTGATTTCTTGATTTCACCGGATTCTTGGTTTTATCTCAGATGGAAACAACGAACGCATCAATTGTTGATGCTGGAAATGCAGGACTAGAAAAAGTCGAAGCTACTGCAGCTGAAGAGGACAATGTCAAGCATAGTGTCGATGAGCTATTCGTAAAAGTTGATAATGTGAGTTTAATTGCGCAAGTGGAGACAAATCATGTTCTTTGTGATTTAAAAGTTCTTAGCATCTATTATGTTTGTTTATATTGGGGTGTGTGTGTATGTTTGTTGCCTTTTTTTTTTTTCGAAATTTCAGGTAGTCCAGAAATTACCTTAACTTATTGATGTGCACAATCCATATGATTCTACAGGCACGCAGGCAATTTTGTAAATCTTTTTAGTTGATATCTTGCGTGAAATTGTAGACTAGGAATGTTCCGACCAGAAACAATAGGTTCATTCATATTGAGGCTGTGGAAGGTATATCATAACTTCTTTAATCTGAAGTTGAAACTAGTTCAAATCCTTTAACAGCATTCGATGGTACAAAGGGATTACTTCTTTGTGACTTATGGGTGAGAAAGCAAATCTGATGATACTCTTTCCATAATTAATATCAATTTGCCTAGTTAACCTTTTCAGCATCAATGCATTTAAATTTCTCTATTTCATTCTTCGTTTTCTTAGAAGCTACAACGCTAGTTAATAAACATGGGCTTTAGGCCTGTACTTTTCACTCCCCTTCTAGCAATCAAAATTTTTGGGATCAATACTATGTAATGACCTTTGTGCATTTATTGGGGTATCATCTATTAGATTGATGTAACCTAAGGCAAGCATCGCAGTTAAATTCAAAGGCAAATGTGGAAATAGGGGAGCATTAAGGCGAGAAAGTTGAGGGACTTCATAACATCAAAGATTGTGAAGGAGCACAAAATATAATGGGATTACCATTGTTTTATGTGATGAATTTCAGGGTAACTTCAAGACAAACACAGAAAACATTTTACTTCTCCCATATAAATAGCATGGAAAAAAAATTGTTGATTTGGACTAGTAAGTCTAGTATGGTGTACGAGAGTTAAACTGAAATTATTAATTTTTGATTTATTATTCATCCTGTAACCCTGATTGTAATGATACAATTATTATTTGTTTTTGAATAATTAAATTGCTTGTTTTTGTTGCATATACGGCATATTGATCTTTGTCTATGTTTGCCTGACTTTGCCAACTTCTGGATATGCTTTCCACTTGGCATCATGAATTTAATAAAATGTCCTCACTTGCAGCTTGAACAACGAGTGAATGAAGTTGAACAGTTTTACTTGGACTCAACTAAAAAGCAACTGAACCCCTCTAAAGGTAGCTCAATAGTGAAGGAGAAGGATAAGGAGAAACATGTTCCTAGCATTAAGAAGCAGCAACTGGATGCATCACGTAGAGAAGCAGCTGCTGCAAAGAGAATGCATGAGCTTATGCGCCAGTTTGGCACCATAATACGCCAGGCAATCACCAATTTTTGCAAGTTTCTTTGTCTTTGTGGGTCACTGAGTTGGGGTGCAGCTGCTTAAACGGATTACTTTGATATATATCATGGAGCATTACTCCCTGTTTAGTTAATTTTTCAATCTATAAGCCTACTTCCTTAACTGATACTTTCCCTAGCATGTAAACCTTTTCCCAAACAGCAAATGCCTTTGAGTATTTATAGTCTAAAAATTCCGTATCATTTCCTTTTTGTTTTGGTGGGGTGGGGGAAGGAATTTTCGATGACCTACCTCGCAATTAGGCTGATTCCAATTCATTTCCATTCATAGCATCCTTTAAATTTTTTGTATCTTTTGAAGCACCAACTCAAAAAGTTGTGCACAGCCTTTACCCTTCACATAACTATTTGTGAACAATATTATTCTAATAAGGCACTTTCCTCGAGAATCAAATACTAGATTTTGAATTTGTGCTGAGTCTAAACCCCATTGTTTTCTGCTTGCTTCTTACCGTGGAAAGAAAGAAGCAAATTGATTTGGTGGCAAGGAGGAGTGAAGGGATGATGAGAGATTTCTGATGGGAAGGATGTGGGGAAGGAAAGAAAAACCACTTGATTAGTTGGTTTATTGGTAGAGAATTTGTTGAGACGGAATATGACTTTTGTTGGAAAATGGCTATGGAGGTTTCCTTTGAAGCAAGATTCATTGTGGCATGTGGTTATTAGGAGCAACTTTGGGCTACAAGCTAATGGGTGAGATGCTAATGGGGTTAAAAAGGATACACTCCAGAGTCCTTAGAAATTCATTTCTCAAGAAATTTATAGTTTTTCTCAATGGGTCAAGTTCATTGTAGGATATGGGGCGAATTTTCGGTTTTGGGTGGATATTTGGAGGGGGAGCATTCTTTTATGAGTCTTTTTCATTGTCTTTATCATCTCTCTACCTATCATGAAAAGACCTTGCATCCTTAGCATTATCGTCATCTTTTTCAATCATTTAGGATTTTGGATTTCGTAGGAATCTTCGGAATTGTTATTACTTCTTTCTATCCTCAATAGTGTTTCATTGAATCCAAATTCTTCGGACAAAAGAATTTGGATTCGACTGAATGGTGATTCTTCAGGTATCTTCTCATGCAAATCTTATTTTGAATCCTTAGTTGATGATTCTTCATTTCCATTATTTCTTCCCTCCTTGGAGATTTGGAAGACAAAAGTACCTTTAAAGGTGCACGTTTGTGCATGGATAATTGCTCATGGTAAGATAAATACCAGTGATGTGCTTCAAAAGGGGAGACCAAATTGTCTTTCACCATAGTGGTGTGTGATGTGTAACGGTAATTCTGAGAGTGCGGATCATTTGTTCTTGCTTTACTTTGTGGGGCTTTCACTTTGGAATAAATTGTTTGATTTTGTTGGCATGTCTTGGGTTGCTCCGATGACAATTTTATCTATGTTTTGTGTGGATTTTAGAGGATTGGGTACAACCATTATGAGACATAGGGGTTACATCTTGTATGAAAGTTAATAGTATACCACTTCTACGAATAGCTCATAATGTTGCGTCTCTTCTGAGACCAGGGCCTTTTATCATGACTTCTACTCGTTGCATACCTTGATCCACTACTGCACGAATAGCATTTCTTGCTGCGGTTTGAGCAGCAAACAAACTCTTTAGCATTGTGCTTTGTTTGCGATGGTGAGAAATGCAAGAATTTAAAAGATAAATAGGAGGTTGAATCTTTATGGGTCCGAATGCATTTTTTGACATCTTTTTGGGCTTTTATTACAAAGGATTTTGAAAATATTTCTCTTTTTTGCTTTACTTCGAGCTGGACAGCGACTATTGGAGTATAATTTTTTCTATATGGTCTTGTTTTTGTGCCTTTTTTTTTTTTGTCTTTTTGGGTTGGACAATTTGTCCACCTTGGTTTTTGACTCTTGTAATATATTTTGTTTTTTATTAATAAAATTGTTGTTTCTTATCAAAAAAAATAGGAGCAAAATGACATTGTTCGATTTTTATGTTCCAAGTACCGGAATGTACACAGTCAAAAGGAGTACACATGAGGATAACCAATAGGTGCTGAATAGTGCTTAGTGATCCTTGTGTATGCCACCTTGGCAATAAAATATTCATTCTTGGTTAAAACTGAATCCCTATTTCTCTGAGTCTGCTATGCTTAGTATCTTATGTATGCCAAAGGGAGCTGCTGCCATATGTATGCTTAGTATCTTGTGTATGCCAAAGGGAGTTGCCATTTTGGGGTGCCAAATCACCCATTTGCAACCTTGAACGGTGTTTTGACATCCCTGAATTATAAATCTGCTCCAATGGCAAATGCCAAAATAGGGTGTCATTTTAATATTTTTTATTGCTGCCAAAATATTTTAATATATTTTAACGGGTATCCTCTTTGGAGTTGCGGTTAAAAAATATAATTAAACCCATTTGCAATCTCTCTCTTTCTCTCTCCAGAGTTGCCAAAATTGCTACCCAAGAGCATTGATGTCATTTTCCAACCCTTGATGCCACCACCGTTGGAGTGAAAAATTTTGAATTTGGGG